CCTTCCTTCCGAGGAGTGGCTGGTGGGTTTGAACCGCCAGCCGTCTGGTTAGCAGGCAAGTGCCTTAGGCACTATGCTACCAGAGCTCCTCTCAATTTACCTACTATACCTTAAATCCTTCCTACATGGACTTCCTTTAGTGACTCCAACAGCTTCTTTAGCTGTCTCTTGTTTTCCCTCCTTCCAACCCACTCGCCACAGGGCCCAGCATCATCCTTCTAAAATGTACATTTGTTCTGGCCACGCCCTGATGTAAAAACTCGCAATGATTTCTCTTGTACAGAATCACATTTAAGCTCTTTGCTATAGGTACAAAGTCTTCACTGATCTTTCTCCTGCTTATCTCACTAGCAGTACCACACAGTCAAGTCCTCACTTATGCACGACCATCTCTGTCACTGGACCACAAATTCCTTGAAGGCAGGGACAAGGACTTATTCCCTTTTGTGTACCCAGTGTCTAAGGTGGTGACTAGCGTAAAATATACCTTCAATATGTTTGTTCAACTAACCATATCTCTAAAGATATATATTCAAAAGTAGCATGCAAATTAAATTGGTTGAGATATTTTATTTTATTTAAGGATTATACTATGGCTAACAGGTTGAAAACTAGTAGGTTGATTGACCTAAGTGCAACATTTTTGTCTGACTTGCCAAACTTGGAACGTACCCAAGTGCCTCCTCAATCAAGAGCTGCTTCCTTGTTCTGAGCAAGAAAATAAGACTTGAATCCCACTCTTAACCAAGTCAAACAGCTCACACTCTACCCTGTGCTGTTCTCATTCAGAACTTTCCTTTTCCAGACATCACTGTCCCTTAAATGGTATTCTTCTAAAATCACAACTCTTGAATAGAAATTTTCTCTCTTGTTGTTTTATTTCTTAAATTGTTTTTGTTTCATTATAGGAAATTACAATGCTACTCATTTCAATGAAAACCAACCAGCTGTCAGCAATTCAATAACATTCTTCTCTCATAATCTCTTCTTGGTCACCCCCAGCTGCCACTTCAAATAGAAAAGTTCAGAAGCAGACAGTGTATAACAGGAGGAGAAAATCAGTCCTTGCAGACATACCAGTATGATCCTTACTGGAGCCACACCCAACCGAGTCCATTCAGACTTCTAGCTATCCTAGCGGACAGACTAGAAATGCCCCATAGGGTTTCCAAGGTTGTAAATCTTTATGGAAGCAGACTGCCTCATCTTTCTCCCTCGGAATGGCTAGTGGGTTTGAACCACTGACTTTTCAGTTAGCAGACAAGTGCTTAACCGCTGCGCCACCAGGACTCCCTAGAGCCATGCACGAGCCAGAACACCACTTGAAAATCAGTTATACTATGCTTGCTACCCCCTCTGGTTGAGGCAATCTCCTATCCCATGATTATCAACCACCAGGAAAAATGATTGGCTTCTTCCTTGCTCCTAGAACAGTGATTTTCGAAAGAGCACTCAACCAACCAAACAGCTCTTAACAACCTAAAATGGGAAAGGAAAGCTATGGCCTTACAAGGGATGATAGCACTGATTGGGAGGAGAAAGAGACACCTCCATTGACATTTTGATGAAGTCTTCAGGGCCTGCTAGCTCTGATAATCAAAGCAGTGGCAAGTGTCCAGGGGGCATTCTTTGCTGGAGAAAATGGAGAACAGTGAAAAGCTCCTTGCAGGTAGAAGTCTCACAAGTTGCTTTCAACTCTTACTGTGCTCCCCAAAGAAGATGGAAACGGGCTCCCAAAGACTTCCACTGAAACTTGCAACTGTCCTCAAAACACTGTATGCTTCTATTTCATTTGTAAAGCATATTCTGAAAATGATTTGGGTGCTTTCAGAATCGATTACACGTTGATTAGAGAGTTGAAAACTGTAACAAGCAACCATTTTCCATAAATATAAATGACATACATATTCAGCTACCTTGTAGGGCTCCCCAAAAAGATCAAAGCCTGAAGAAAACAGATCTTCTTCTTGCTGGACTTCTTGATTCCTCCGCTCCCATTCCCTTTTTTTAAGTGCACTACGGTCTGGTTCATAGTGACTGATAAGAAAAGAAAAAGACAAAAGAAAAAGATTAATTAGTCATCTAAGTCATTTAGATCTCCCTTGTTATCAACAAGGAGGCCCTGGGTGGCGCAAACGGTTAAGAACACAACAACTAACCAGAACGTTGCCAGATCAAACCCACGCAGAGGCACTTTGGAAAAAAGGTCTGGCAATCTACTCCCGAAAAATCAGTCATTGAAAACCTTCCGGAGTCATTCTTCTCTGACACACATGGAGTCACCAGGAGCTCAAAGTGACTCAACAGCGGCTTTGGCTGTGGTTTTGGTTAAATCTTGACTGTGGTAGTTAAGGGTGTGTGACAACGTGGCTGGGCAGCTGGATGGAGTCCTCCCCATGGTGAGACTGGCAATCAGCTCCATGGTGGGATCTGCTGCGAGCAGCTGAGTAGCTGCCTTAGGGCTGTGGTCTGCTTCCAGTCTATAAGGAGAAGGTATGGGCAACGGTCCTGAGCTTCCTGGCACATTTGGATCCTGCATTTGGCTGAGTCATCAGTGAGTGGCCTGCCATGTTGTCTGGCAATCTGGGGACTATTTCTGGACTTGAACTAGTGGCCTGCCATGTTGCTTGATAATTTGGAACTGTGCCTTTTTTTTTTTTTTGGTCGACTTTGGATTTGCCAGCCTCAGCAACCAGCAGGTGCCTGAGTTGAGACACCTCCAGCTCCAGTGGGCTGGGAGGAAGAGGCAGAGCTAAAGCCCAAGGTCCAGGGGCCTTCACCAGCCCCTAGAGCTGGTACTTTGAACTCTGACTTCAGCCTCCTAAACTTTAAGAGAATAAATCCTTGTTTGTCAAAGACACGCATTTGTGGTATGTTTGTTATAGCAGCACTAACCAAAAACACCAAACTCACTGCCATCAAGTCAATTCTGACTCACAGTGACCCCCATTGGATTCCCGAGGTGGTAAATCTTTAAGGAAGTAGATTGCCCCATCTTCCTTCCGAGGAACAGCTGGTGGGTTTGAACCGCTGACCTTCTGGTTAGCAGCCAAATGCCCTATCCAGTATGTCACCAGAGCCCCACTAGAGGACTGAAACACTGACTAAAGAAGAAAACAGAGTTTTGATTCTGAGAAATGGTGCCCGTGCCCACTTATCCTCTTCCCTTGCCTTTCCTTGCTTATTGGAGGCTGGTCCATCCTCCCCAAACACCAGTCCATCAAGCCAAAAGGCACTGCACTAAGCTTATGTGGTTTTGCTCAAAATTCACAGGTGTTCAAGTCCTCGGGGCAGGAGCTGCAGATAAACTGGGATTCCGTCTTGAGCCCACAGCAGGGGGAGCCTGCTTACCCAAATTCACAGAAGACTTTCAGGGTGTGTTTGGAATTACACACACACGCATACACACACACATAAAAAATTGCTTAATCACCCACTTTCCTTTTGATTTTGGGAAGAGATCTCTTTTTTAGGAAACTCTTCCCAAAGGAAGGGATCTGACTTGAGTAACCCACTATTCACAAGGAAGGAAGTTGTGACACGCCTTCAGTGTCCTGGATTCACAAATGTTTCAGAAAGACACCACGAGTCTGCTTGCCCCTGGTCTTTCAGGCTTTCCCACTGGACATTCAGTACACGAACTCCCAGACAGTTTTAAGGTAAACTCTGGGTCCTTGGATTTTACAGAATGAAGAAAGATGTCCTTATGAGGGAAACCATTATGTTGTCATCGGGCAAAACCGGGCAAATTAAACCACAACCTATAATTCTTAGGGTAGCGCGTTTTATTCTGTTTGTTGGTTTTTCCCCCGTGCTTTTGATTTTCATCTTGCCCAAACTGTGTACATATATGCTGGGCAAACTGCAATGATGTTAATGTTGGTTCCTTTCCCCATGTTAACACTACCCTGGTGAGACTCAATTACATAATTGATATGCAAATGAACATAAAGAGCTAAAGGAATCTAAGCACTATAGTGATAGAAGGAGCTCTGGTGGCATAGTGCCTAAGGCACTTGACTGCTAACCAGAAGGCTGGCAGGTCAAACCCACCAGCCACTCCTCGGAAGGAAGGTTGGGCAATCTACTTCCATAGTGATACCACCTCGGAAACCCAAGGAGAGGTCGCTATGAGTCGGGTCCAACTCGACGGCACACAACAACAACAACATAGTGTTAGAAAAGTACAGTCAAGGATTTGGAAAACACCCTAAGCCATCATGCCCACCATGGGCAGCCTGGTCCGTGCTCTGGAGCATCATCACTTTAATTTACAAAATCAGAGCTGAGCACATGACACGGCCATGCTGCTTAAGTAGATTTCCATACACATGGCGTGTGAAATGCCACTGCACTTAATCACCCACCTTCCTCCACAGGATTCCTTGAACTGTCAAATTCAAAGTGACTTTGATAGCCTTATCTCCCGGATAAACAAGACTTCATTTCTCCGTTTTAAAAAGGTGGCAACATTGAGAGGAGGTTGAAATGCACATTACACGTGTGTCATGCAAACAATGCCCAACACGTGCAAGCTCAGCGGGCGCTCGTGAGCATGCTCAGCAAATGTTATCGATGGGGGAAAAGAGCCTAAGAAAACACCCAGACGCCTGCCCAAAGCCCAGGCCCCTATCTGAGCCACCACCCGGAAGCCAGCCTGTCACCTACAGTCTTCGGGGCCATCCGGAGGGATGACCTTCTCTAGCATCACCTCTCCCTTGCATTCACAAAAGTTTGAGACCAGACCCCAAACTGCTGTTGTCATGTGTTGGGAGGGTGATGTGGAAGCCACCAGGCAGAATGATAGCATCTGGGCGCCCCTGAAGTGTGTGTGGACTGTGAGTGTGCACCTGCACGGGACTCTGCACCTCAATACCATGTATCGGTTGGGTGGAGCCCAAACCCACCAACTGGTCAACATTTAAGACATTAGGGCACCAGGGGTGGGAGTAGGGCAACAAATAAGAGCAATATTCAGTGGAGCTGGGGGAAGATGGTCACTTGCCAAGAAGGACACTCAATTCCTTTGCCTCTCGTAGCAGAGGATTTGCCACATGCAAACAAGAGGCAGAGTCTCGGGCTCCTGAGTGGGGCTGGAGCAAGATGTCAGTTTTCCAGCCCTGTTCATTCTGTGCACCTGACAGCCCTGGATGACAGGCCCATAGATCACGCTTAATTCTCCCATGAAGAGAACCGCAGCACTTTGGTCTCTTGGCTTTGCAAATGACCTTCCTTCTCCTCGGAGGGAGAGATATAATTAAAACCCTGAAGGGAAAAAAAGAAGGAGCAGGGGAAGAAAAGGAATTGTGCTTCAACTTGCAGGACAACCCTTCAAACGGTAAGGGCTCTTTTGGGGTTTGTGACCCCGGGATGATGTGTTAGGGGCCTCCTGCATCAGTTCATTAGCTCCCAAATTCCAGACGGACATGTGACGGAGAACACACACTGGTGTGAGCTGGTGCAAGCCAAAGTGTCTAGTGTATTTTTTAACACAAATAACAAAGAGCAGTTCATTCTCATATCTCTGGCGAGAATGAATTTCATCTCTATAGAGTGCCACAGCTTTTGGACGGCAACCAAGTATCTCCAACTTTTTCCCTTTGCGCTCAGCATGGTGTGGTTTTGAAAGCTTCACACGGCGAGGCATAATGAGGAATGAACTACACGGTGATGAGGCTTTCACAGTGTACAACGGACTGATTTCTGACTGAAACCAAAATTACTAATTTGAAGCACCAGCTAATTAAAACCACAGCTATGTATTTAGCCTCTTGTTATACCTACTGCAGCTGATAATTATGAGGACCTCTTTATCGTCTCAATTAAAGTTCTTCTGATTCAGGCGGGTTGTGTTTGAACCTGTGAGCCCTGCAGAGGTCACAGGGAAGCCGCCGTCTGTCCCCTGATGATTTGATAATGTAGCTTTACACTCACAGGCTTGTTTTCCAAATGGGGGGCGGGCGGTAAGAACACTAGGGAACCATAAGGAAATACTGAAGCCAGAAATCTGAATTAGTCATCTTATTATTGGATGCAACAATTCAAGTGTACTCAGGCCAATGAGGCTGGAATGAATTGGTCCTATCAGCATGAAAATCCACTTGCATATGGAGAAGTTGCTCCAGAAATCGCCACTCAAAGATTTGCCACTCTTAGCCACTTAGGATGTTTCTACGGCTTCTTTTCTTTTCTCCTGATACAAGGAAAATTTTTGTATTATGGTGATATCAAAACTATTGAGCACTTAAAACCTGATCTACTCTTAATCAATCACAGGCCTTTGTTTTTTCTTTCTAAAGCTACCTTCTTGTAATTCCTATTTTGCTGACAAGGAGGCCTGGTGGCGCAGTGGTTAAAGTGCTCAGCCGCTAACTGGAAGGATGGCAGTTCGAACCCACCAGCTGCTCCACCAGAGAAAGATGAGGCAGTCTGCTTCTGTAAAGATTCCAAAACCAAACCAAACCCACTGCTGTCGAGTTGATTCCAACTCATGGTGACCCCCACTGGGTTTCCAAGGTGGTAAATCTTTACAGAAGTAGACTACTGAGTCTTGCTTCCACGGAGTGGCTGGTGGGCTTGAACCACCAACCTTCTAGTTAGCAGTCAGATGCATTAAACACTGTGCTGCCACAGCTCCTTTCCATAAAGACTACAGCCTCAGAAACCCTATGGAGGCAGTTCTACTCTGTCCGCTAGGGGCGCTGTGAGTTGGCATTGACTTCATGGCAGTGGGTTTGGTTTTGGGTTTTGGCTTTGCTGACATGCACATTATCTGGTAGGAAAAGCACAGAAAGAAGAACAAGTCCCATTTAACTACTCTGTTACTGCCTGTGATGCGGGGCATCATGGTGGGAGGAGTCTCTCTATGATGAAGTGTTTATATTAACTGAGATTTGCCTCCCTGGCCCCCTAAAACAAAGGAACTGCAATAGCAAAGTAACTGTCCTGGTTTACCAATGAGGAAACTAAAGCCCAACAGGAAAGGGGAGCTGTCCCAAGCCCTCACCCAGGTAGTGGCAAGGGAAGACTTGAACTAC